GTACTGACAAGTGTCGTGGTGAAGTGCTGTAGCGAGCCGAAGAGGAGGTCGCCGGTGTCGTAGTTTGCTAGAGATACCAGTGGATGACCGTTGGCGTGCTGCCTACCAATGTAGGTGTCCTCGATGGAGAGGAACTATTGGCCGTTGTTGTCATAGAAGATGATCGTTGCGGCTGGCAGTATGCGTTGTGGCCATGCCTCTAGGAGTAGGATGCTTGAGAGAAAGGCTTGCATTGTCGGTGTAGATGTCGCTGTGTGGAGGCCGATGGCTAGGAGATGTGGGGATGCAGTTCCAAGCGACTCGAGCAAGTCCTATAATAGAGGTGAAGTTACCGGAATGTAGTACCTTTTGTTGTAGCGGATGATGCTAGGTTGGAGGGACCAAGCTGGTGCTGCTACATGGACTTCAATGGTGGCAGAGATGATCTGGAGTTCGCGCTCTTTCGTGGTGGTGACACGGAGCTGGGTGAGGATCTCTTGGTCTGGCTCGATTTGAGTGGTTGCTCTAGTGTTGTTGCCGGTTGATTGAGGGCGAATAGGGGCGTCAGGTGGTGTAGGGGCCATCGTGGGAGGCGGGGGTGATGATTCCTTAGCTGACTCAGTGTTGGAGCTGCCTGTATCTCATCGTGGTGTGATGTCGGAACCGTTGCCGATAGCGGAGGTGGGTCGGCCCATGTTGGTGGAGGCAGGCGCTGGGGTCTCCATGGTACGAGCGAGGTCGATGGCCGTCTCCATCGTGCGCGGATGGTGACGGACAACCGCCACTCAGAGTGCATCCTGAAGGTCAGTGATGAAGAGGCTAACTTGGTGTTGTTCACTAGTGATGCCGATGTGTAGAGCGTAGGCGATGAAGTTGTTGATGTAGTCGTTCACGGAGCTGATATGACGCGGTGGTGCGATGTCGCTGGTGGTGTTGCGGTCGGGGCCAAAGTTGCGGATGATGCTGTCGGTGAACTATGCCCACTCAGTCATGGGTGTATCCCTCGTTGCGTGCATGTACCACTGGTGTGCTTCACCTATCAGATAAAAGGCCGCGTACTAGGTTTGTTGTGTCTCTAGCAGACGGTATAAGTTGGAGATTTGTCGTATATGCGATAGCCATGGCCTCGGGTCCGTCAAGCCATCATATATGGGAGTTGTGAGTTGTGTCTTGAAAGGGACATGTCGTTAGGGTGGTTCCACCGTTGTTGGTGTCGTCCGAGTCAGTGGTGTTCAGGGCGCATCATCCCTCCGTGCCGGCGGCCAGGTGGCTGGCTGCTGCTGTGATGGCGCCTTGAAGTGTTGTGCGACCACCGGGCTAGGTGGGAGTCGGCTGGTTGCGTGCACCGGCGGTGGTTGATGCTGAACTGTTGGTGGTGTTGGCACTGGTGGCGTGCGCGGCGGTGGCTCCTACTGGTTGATGTCCAACTGTTGGTGGACAACGGGGTGTCGGTGGTGTGTTGCCGGCGTAGTCGCGGTTGGCGGTGTTGCAGGCTCAGAGTAGTTGTCGTCCAGGGCTTGGTGGGCAGCTGTACAGATGACTAGAGTTTCCTCCAGTGGGGGAAACAGCGGCGCCATTCGTGGCCGTGGTGATGGAGGTGGAGCGGAAATCAAGCTGTCTGATATAGCTAGGATGTTCTCCGGAGCATTGGAGGATTGGGGTTCGTCCATCTTGCGTTTGAGATACGACTTGCTGGCGGCGATCATGACTCGCTCGGTTTCTGCGGCAAGGTCGTCGATGGTGGCTTCCTGGTCCAATCTGTCCTGGATGCCAGTGATGGTGGTGTCGCCATGGGTCCATGTGCGCTCAATAGCGTGCAGACGGTTGTCGAGGTTGACGAGTTGACGATGCATCTACCCGAAGTTCTTGCGAAGATCGGCGGTGAGGTTCTCGATCAGTTGCTGCATGGTGGGGGTGATGGAGTCCATGGATCGTCTGGTCTCTGATACCAGTGTAAGAGCCCAGCAAGGGAAGGGGCTCTAGACGGCGGCAGCTAGGGTTGAGGAAGGAGAGGGCGACGAGCAGAGGGAGGCAGAGGGAGAGGAGGAGTTGGTGCACGGGAAGGGAGAGGGAGAGAGGAAAGATAAGTCTGAGGTTGTTTTTTCTTGATTGCAATGATTACATAGTCCCTCTATTTATAGTCTTCAGTAGACTTATCTCCTAAGTAACCTGTTGAAGGAAGTCCTTATAGATATGAACTCGTCCCAATCTATCTAATCTCAACCGATCCTATTCCTATTCTCTTTCCTCTATTGGAGATTCTCCCGATATGGATAGCGGAGCGGTAGGAGACCGCCCTTGCTACGCGCACCTCCCCCCGTGTCCGCACGCGCCCCTCTCCTCAGGTGGCGCGGCTGGCCTGGGACCCTCTTGGGCCCTCCATCCAACGTGTGACAGAAGTCATACGGAACATGTTCATATTGAGTATCAACGGGGTGGAACGAGACATAAATGAATGGAAAAAGATCCTTTCTGATGCTGGATTCACTGACGATTGCAAAATCATGCCAGTACTGGGCCCCTTTTCAGTAATCGAGATCTACATATGAATAATGCTTTAATTATATACAAGCCATTACGTAGAGTTATCATGTCTTGTCAATTAGCAGCAGGCAGTGCATGCCTCTGTTCTCCTTTCTGCTCTTGGGCTATAAATAAATATGATATATATTTGCCAGTGCAGAAACTCCTGGGGCACACTCTATTCTCCGGTATCGTTCCCTCTGATTACATCGGAGTTTTTCGGCAAACAGAAATATCCTCTGCGGACTCTAATGCCCATGAACGTTTTCTTGTGCACTGTTGCGGGTAACCACGGACAATTCTGATGCTGCTGTGCAGCCTCTTTTTGCTTTGTTTCTTTATGTCCCTTCGTTTACTTATCAGCCTAGCTTATCAGCTATGTTATAGGATTTTTCTCTCATAATAAATCAGTGAACAGTACTTTTCAGCCTGACTTTTCAGCGAAACGAACGTAGCCTCGTTCCATGAGTTTTAGGTTTTCCCACTACTACAAAAATGATTTTACGAGACACTGCATAAACATTAACCGAGGAGGACAAAAAATCTAACCGTCTCGTAAAATGCCTGAGGATTTTCGGAGGTGTACGTTTTCATTTACGAATGCGGTCACAATTAACCGTCTCGCAAACTGCATTTATGAAGCCGAACATTTTATTTACGGATGTGGTCAAAATTGTCCATCGTAAAACTGATTTATGAAGGCAGTCAAAAATCGATTTACGAAGAGGCCCGCCTCCGAAAATGGATCTATTTTTTGGGTCAGACCTCTTAAAAGACCCACTTCAGTTAATACAGCGAAGCCCATTCAGCCCACTTAGCACGTCTCCTAAGAGGTTCCTCTCTGTGTCTCGTCTCACTCTCTCTCTCTCTACATTTTCTCTCTCACCCGGCACCCTCCGAGGTCCGAGCGGCGGCTTCGCCCCCACCCTCCGAGTAGTGGCGGCGGCATCCCTCCCCACCCGAGCAGCGGCACGGTGCCCCAACCCCACCCTCTCTGAGCAGCGTCAGTGGCGCCCCTCCCCCACCCGAGCGGGCTCCCGAGCGACAGCGTGTAGAGCGGACCCGGTGGCAGCGACGGGAGGCCTATGGGTCACCGCGACTTCGAGCAGGCTCAGCGACAGGCCAGATCCAACAAGCAGGCGTGGAGTTTGATGGAGGGTGGCTGGATCTAGGACGGGCGCCCCCCTGGCAGTGGATCGAGGGCAGCCAGGTCCCTCGGCGGCAGATCGAGGGAAGCCACGCTCCCCTGTGGCAAATCCACGACAGGCGCGCATACCGGCGGCAGATCCACGGCGGGCGCCCCCCCAGGTGGCGGATCCAGCGACAACGATGACGACGACGACGACAACGCGCAGATCCAGCGAGCGACGACGACGGAGAGTGGATGAGCTCGAGCAGGCTTGTCAATGGGGTTTTCTCTTTTTTTTTTGTTTTTCTGATTCATTTTTCCAGGCGGGCATTCTGGCCGTCTATGAAAATATTGATTTTCGCACACGTGCATTGTGTTCGCCTCCGCAAAGCCACATTAACGCATGCCTTTTGGTAGAGACGGACATTTTGCCCTCATGCGTAGACCCAAAACGCCCGCCTGCCAAAAGAATAGTGTAGTAGTGTCCGCACAGACTTCTATGCCCACCTGCCAAAAGAATAGTGTAGTAGTATCCACACATACTTCTAATCTTATATACTAGCAATCTTCACGTTGTTTATGTCTTGCATCCATTTGAACTTCACCTTATATACTAGCAACCAATGTTAGTCGAAATGGTCATGTGTTATCATTCAAACCCCAAAATCACTTAATGTCCCATGCAAGATGCTATTTTCCTTATTGTAGGCTGTGTTGATGGCCTTGCCGGGCCTTTTTTTAATTTAAAAAAATATTTACAGAGGTGGGCATCGAATACGCCTCTAATACAGAGGTGGTTGTTGTCACCATAGTTCTGTTTTGACGGCCTCGATAAACTTGTTTTCTAGTAGAAACCAAGAACACATGGGTGGATATTCTTTCTTCATGTGTAGTCAATACTATCTCCGGTCCATTTTATCTGGCGCACACACATATCAAGATTTAAACTTTATAAACTTTGATCAATAATTAGACTAATAATTTTTAACTGTACTATAATACAAGCTTTATATGATTAGATTTGTAAGGAATTATACTATCCAATTATTATAAGCTTATAAGCATAAATAATATAATATAAAGCAAATGAATGGTCAAAGTGTAATCTAGAAGACCGTGACATTCTAATTTATGCCAGATAAATGGACCGGAGGGAGTACTCTTGGAGGAAAAACATGGTGACGTCTTGATAGATTGATATGTTCTTGTGTATTCTGAGTAAATAAATGTTTTGGTCATTCTAGTGTTCTGTATAGAAGGCGTTGGATAGTGACATAGTGTTCTCTATAAAAGGCGTTGGATGGAACAAATCTTAGCCCCCGAGTACACAGACGAGCTTTAGTTTGCAGTGAAGCTTGCTAACCTCAGCATGACGCTTAGACTCTTGGCCGAAGTGAGCCCCCAGGACTTGCTAGTATCTCTTTCCGAGCTCCAAACCAATTTGCACGGTTACATCAAGTCCATGGCTCTCAAGTGCGCAGTGGATCTCAGCATCCCCGACATCATCCACCGCCGCGGTGGGGCTGCAACTCTAGCCGACATCGCAGCCGACACCAAGATACATCCAGCCAAGGTGCCACACCTCCGGCACGTGATGGAAGTACTCAGCACTACGGGCATCTTCACTGCCACCGCGGGTAAAGACAGCGGTGATGCCGTGTACGGGTTAACCACGGCGTGCCGCTTCCTCGTCGGATATCTCAACCTGTCCCCTATGGTGCCGTTCTTGGTGAGTCCTCTCGTCGTATCTTCCTTCTTCAGCATGTCTGACTGGTTACGAAAGGAGCCGGCTGCTGCCGGGTCACTCTTCGAGCTGGCGCACGGCTGCTCCCAGTCGGAGATGGCAAACCAGGATGCCGCGTTTAGCAGCCTCCTGAACGACTCCGTGGCCGCTGATAGCCAGCTCTTCCTCGAGGTTGTTATTATGGACAAGGACCGTATCTTTCGCGGGCTGAGCTCGCTGGTCGATGTTGGTGGCGGCCATGGCGCGGCCGCGCAGGTCATAGCGAGGGCGTTTCCACGCATTAAGTGTACGGTGCTGGACCTTGCTCACGTCGTCAGCCAGGCAACCGCCAGTGATGGTAACATGCATTTCATCGCAGGTGACATGTTTGAGTCCATTCCATCGGCTGACGCTGTCTTCCTCAAGGTATGAATAATATATCGCACGGTCTACTATTCGTCCTAATCGAACTAGTGTTGTTTGTTGCATTGAATTTGTGCTAGGGCGAGTAACACAATAGCAACACTTAATTTTCCACCATGAACAAAAATTCTGATACGAGCAAGCAAAATAAAATGAAAAAAATATAGATCGATGACAGGTGTACCACGTGGCGCATTACAATAATACAGGACTGGTTATGCGTTAAAGTCACTGGTAAAAAAGCATCTTTACTGTGGCATGCTTACACAAACCGATCTATGTAAATATTTGTACAATTAAGAATGTTGCTAGTGTAAATTGATCTATACTGACGGCATGCTTACACAAACCGTCTATGTAAATCATTTTTTAGAATGAGGCCTAAAGTTGTGAGTTCGATTCTCGGCAACTATATGCGCATGAAAAATCATATGACTTCTAACGCACTATGGCCCTGTTCGCTTTGTTGAAAAAACAAGCCGAAACACTGTTCCGGTTGATTTGTTGTGAGAGAAAAACACTGTTTCGGCTGGAAAAACAAGCTGAAAAAGACGGATTATAAGAGAAACGAATAGGCCCATGTTCCTTTCTTGACCACTATGCATCAAGGTCCATTGTACTTGAGCAGTAGATGCATTTCTTTTTGTATTCACTCCAGTAAATATTGTAATGCATATTTGACAACCTAAACGAATTCAATGAAAAAGTTTAAACCGAAATATTTTAGGTATTTTTGAGTTCTAAAACTTTGGTTCAGGTCATTTCTCTATCCAAGGTTATTAAAACATTCAAAAAAAATGAATTTCAAGATCATTAATCATAGAACATAATTTCCTGGTCCTAAATAATTTCAAATGAAAAAGTAGTAAATACAAAGTTGCAGATATTTTCAAGTACTATATCTTTCATTTTAGATCATTTCTTCATCCGGGATCATTTGAAAATTCAAAAATTGATTTTGAATTATTTGTATTGTGTAAAGAAAACTGCCAGTGTAAATGCATCTTTACTGGTGGTAGGCTTAAGAGAACTGGCAGTTGAAATCAAGTATTTACTCAGGATTAGTACTGATTGTAGGATTAAAAGAACAGCTAGTGTAAATATATGATTTTAACTGGCAATAGGCTTAAAGAAAACGCTAGTAGAATGTATTACACTATCAGCTCAGAGCCCCTGGCCCATAATTCTATTTCTGTTGGCGCCTATGCATTATAAGTCGCCGGTAGAAAAAATCAGAGGAATTGACAAAAAATCGTTTTTTTACAAGTGAGGATATATGCTTTACAATATATTTTTGGATCGCTTACACTTCATGACATTTTGGAAAGATTGAAAACCATAATAAACCGTTCGATTTCATATAGTTGGGATAAACTTATTTGGAATGCAACATTTCTTATGCTAATGATTGAAGAAAACCTCTCACAACAGAAATGGTTGAAACATGATGTGTTCTTTCCTACTCCTATTTTATACAGAAAGGTCGCAATATAGTGAAAGAACAAATTTTAAGTTTCATCGACCTTAAAAATCAAAACGTGATAATATGGAAGATTGGTAGCGCTGGTCTAAAAATATTTAGTTGGCTAAATCAAACAGATCATATGTTATGAACCTCGATATGGAAAATAGTATTTCATTAAATTATACAAATTGACATCGGGTCCTTGATTGCGTACTGAAATAGTATTGGAAGTTATAGAGAAATAGGTCATTTCGTTATCCTGTTTGTTCTTTTTTCCCTTTAAATTGTTTATAATTTCTACCTGTTACAGAACATTTTACATGATTGGAGCGATGAAAATTGTGTCAAGATACTTCAACGTTGCAAGCAAGCCATTCCTTCTAGAACTGCAGGAGGAAAGGTGATAATCATAGAGATGGTGAGAGGATCGTCACAGGGAGATAGCAAAATCAACGAGATGGAAGTCATACGGAACATGTTCATGTTGAGTATCAACGGGGTGGAACGAGACATAAATGAATGGAAAAAGATCTTTTCTGATGCTGGATTCAGTGACGATTACAAAATCATGCCAGTACTGGGCCCCTTTTCAGTAATCGAGATCTACCCTTCATAATGCTTGAATTACGGTATTGCTGCTATACAAGCCAGTACGTAGAGTTATCATGTCTTGTCAATTACCAGCAGGCAAGGATGCCTGCCTCTGTTCTACTTTCTGCTCTTGGTCTATAAATAAATATGATATATGTGTCGCCCATTAAGTATAGCTCGTCGATGTTCCTGGCTTGCTGGTTTGTAACTTTATTTTATTGAATATAAATAATATATCATGTTATAATTGTTGTGTGAAACATGTTGCTAATGGTTAGGATATTTTCTTCCATCCACTACACCATAGTCCCAAAACAATGTCAGAGTGAGGGCCTGTTTAGAACACAGGAAATTCACAGGATTTGCATAGGAATTTTGTTGGCCCCAGGATCTTCCACACGGGTGAGCTGACCGTTCATCGGCGTTGCCGACCACACACTAAGGCTAGAGGTAGAAGAAAAGAGGGAGAACAGAGCGCACACACACAACACAAGCACCAGCGTTGGTCGAAGCTCTGCAGAGGAGATGGCAAAACTGAACTCGCTCACTTTACTGAGTTGCAGTGGGAAACTATATATACAACTCTACTCATCTAATCCAAGTACATAGATATGTCAGGCTGCCATGCTGCTATAGTGAATAGATGTGACAGCAGGACTGACTTTAGCGTCAGCCCCTGCTGTGGCTACAGCACAGCAGGTGAGCCTTTCGGTGTCTTCCCTTGCCGCGCGTACAGGGGAGTAGCAGATTACTTTTATAATTCTTTCCCTAATCCTACTGCTAACCCTAGAACCTCCACCATGCCGATCATCTTCTTCAGCTCCGTGAACCGAAGACAGGCCAAGCGGCTTGGTGAGGACGTCCACGAATTGCCGACCAGTTTTGATGAACTCAATGATGATCTACCCTCCGTTGACACAGTCCCTGAGGAAGTGAAACTTAATGTCGATGTGCTTGCTCCGGTCGTGTAGAACCAGATTCTTCGCGAGGGCGATGGCAAGCTGGTTGTCCGCTATCAGTGCTGGTGGGCGAGCTTCCACACCGGTCAGCTCGCCTAGCAGCCGACGCAGCCACACAGCTTGACACGCCGCTGTGGCCGCCACCACGTACTCTGCCTCGCACGTGGACGGCGCCACCACCTTCTGTTTCAGCAACAGCCATGAGATTGGAGCCAGAGGTGCTCCGCCGTTCGTCGATATCCCCCGCCATGTCTGAATCGCTGAACACAGTGAGCTGTAGCCCACTTTCGCCTATCTTAGGGAAGACGATCCCCTGACCCACCGTCTTCTTGACGTAGCGCAGCAGCCGCTTCACCGCGGCCCAATGATCCTCTCGGGGATCCTCCATGAAGCGGCTAACATAGCCCACGACGAACGCAATGTCCGGCCTCGTGTGGACTAGGTAGCGCTAACCATCGACGATGCTTCGGTAGAGTATTGCATCTACCTTCGCCGTGGTACTGGCCTTCGTCAGCTTCAGCCGCTCCTCCATCAAAGTCATGCACGACTTGCACTCAACCATGCTGCTCTACTCTAACAGCTTTGAGGCATACACGCTCTGACCGAGTGTGAGCGTCTCCTTTCCCTATCTCACCTCGATGCCGAGGTAGTAGGAAAGCACACCGAGATCGCTCATTCAAAAATGAGCTACCATCTCGCGCTTGAAACTGTCGATGTCCTCCGAATGCGCTGGTGATGATCAAGTCGTCCACATACACGTTGACGACGAGCTCCTCCTTTCCCATCACCACGTGTAGAGCGCATGCTCCGTTGCGCAATGCGTGCACCCAAGCTCACCCAGTGTAACACCCTAAAAATTTCTATTTTTGAAATAGGGTTGACAAGATTTAATTTTGGATTTTTATGCTCATTAAAACATAGGAAGTAAAAATTTTCAGGAAATTAAAATTTATTATAAGGTTTAGAAACATGTTTGTGCATATATGCTGCTGCATATTTATTTCGTGATGAGTGGTTTGATCCAAATTCAAATTTATTTAAAATGTTTTTTTTGAAAAATAGATTCAAAAATAGAATTCAGTAAAAGAAAAGAAAATTTGAGAATAAAATAATTTAAAAAGTAGTAAAAACTATTTTTGGAAAACTTACTAAAATTGTTCATTTTTATTTGAGTTGAAAAATATATTTGAAACTATATTTGAATTGATTTGACTTTGGATTTGAAAATTGCTTTGGAAAAATTTAAAAGAAAAAGAAAAGGGATTATTTCTCTGTTCCCCTTCCTCCCTGGTTTTGGCCCGAAGGCCCATCACCGCAGCTGCTCTCCTTTTTCCCACCAGACCCCAGCCCGTTTCTCCCTCTCTCTTGGTTTCAGCCCAGCCGCAGCAGCGTCGGCCCGTTCTCCCTCCCCTTAGCAGGCCGCACATAGGCCCAGCTCCTCCTCCCCACGTCTGGCCTAGCAGCGGAAGCCGCCAGCGTGCCTCCTCTTCCTCTGTCACAGATCGCCTGGGCCCGCCTATCAGCCGCTTCTTCTATCTCATCGTTGTCCCCGACATGGACTCTACCATCACAGAGTTTGCGTCCGCCCCACCTCACTCGGTTGCCGTGCTCCCCACACCAGGCCGCTCCATATAAGCCAAGCCGCATCGCGCGCCGCCTCCCTATCCCGCTTTGGAGCCATAGTCTCCTCGCCCCAAGCCGCATCGCCACTGCGGAACCATAGCCGCCGAGTCGTCGTCGCCCACCGAGCAAAGCGCTGTCGCCATCCGCTCTGTGCCGCAATCCTTGGCCTTGGTGAGTTCGCCTTGGTCCCCGCTTGGCCATTGTGCCCTCAGTTTGCTCTCCTATGGCCTCTAGGGTCAGTTTTAAGTGCGCCGGTGAGGTCACTCACCGCCGGCCATGTCTTCCGCCGCGCCCAGCAACTGTTCTGGTGCCGGCATCTCTTCTCTTTCCTCGTCTTTTAATCTCAGCCGTCAACTCTAGATCCGATGGCCCTGATTTGCACGTATCGGTTCGGCCGGTCAACATTGCAAAAGAGCCCCTACGTTTTCTATTATCGAACCCGTGGTCCATTGCGTATTTGACAGATTACACCTTCTTCTTTTAAAAACGTACTTTGCTCGGTTAACTTCAAAAACACATTTTCAGTTATTTACAGTTTTACCACTAGATTTATTTATGCTATAACTTTGTCGTTTTAACTCCGATTTGACCCATTCAAATTGCGTTCGGTTCGTATTTACGTTGTCTACGTGTTCATACTACTGTTAGATATATTTTCAACTTTTGAAATTCAGGGTTAGATTTAATCTATTATTTTAATAAGGGAAATCTTGTTTATTTCATATCTTCTACTTTTTAGCTCCGAATTGACCCGTTCAAGTTGTGCGAGATTCATTGCAACAAGATCTACGCGTTAGTAACAATGTTTGTTATGTCACTATTTCTAGAATTTCATGGTTTAAACTCTAATTTGGATAATAATTATGCAACTGGATTTGTATATGCTTTTATATAGTTAAAACACATGAAGCTTATAGTTTTATATTTTCTCTTATGAGTAGATCTTTCAGTAGCCGTTTCTCTTAAACCGTAGCTCTGATTAGCATGCCTCTCATGACTGTGTGTTCATAGCGATGCGTAGAATCATGTTTCAAACTTTTTTACTTATTTTTCTATGATTGGTGTACTGTTCTAATTTAGATCTATTGTTTGCTTCGTGTATGATTGCATGGATGATTGTGTGGTGCTTTATGATCATGTCCAGTCGGTGAGCTTTACGTGTTGATTAAGGAGTTCTATTGAAGTTTTGGACTTGAAGAAGGATTAGAGTTTAAGGCAAGTATAGCATGGGATCTTCCTTGTTGACCTATACACCTTTAATCATTTAATTCATGCTGCATGTGTCTACCTTGATTACCACTAAGGATTTCCTAGTACTTCGTACCTGGTTCCTTGTCACCTTTGGTTTATTGCATTGGGTAGTATGATGCTAGTGCTCAACTAAAGCCATGATCTTGTAACTTGACTAATGGTATATGCAATAAACACTAAAAGATGTTTTTTAGCAACATGAAACAAGGGGGCTAGAGCATTGGGCTATTTTATAGTGCTCAGATTCCTCTCCCTAAGGACTTATCTGTAAGTGATCATCCGGGACTTACAATACAACTGTGAGGGCTATATGGCTCTGGCTTTAGCTCAGTATGAGGACCTTTTCGAGCTTGTTAGAGGTTACCTTTATTGGTGTAAGAATGGCTTGACAAATTGGGTGTAGGACAACATCTACTCTTATGTGTATAGCCGTGATGGAATTGTGCCATTTGACAGGGGTTCCTACATCTGTTTGCCTAGTGAATCTAATGGCCCTAACTTGTTAGACGAACCTTTGAACCCTGCCGACCTTCCTTGGTAGTGGGTCAAGAGGCTGATCACCTTGGGCGAAAGGGTAAATCACGACTCATAGTGAAAGTGTACAACCTCTGCAGAGTGTAAAACTGTTATAACAACCGTGCTCACGTCATGAGCGGCCTTGGAACCCTTACAGAATAGATGATGAACACTGATGATACTGTTGATGAAGATGCTCACTAATGATTATTGTTTATGCTATTCATTATTCATGTTTACCTGATCATGTGTTTATATGGGCTTGTGGATAAACTTGTTGCCACCCAATTGCTAAAAGATGACTCATATAAGCTAATCACAGTTAAACTATTGTCAACCTTTTGAGCCTCATGAACCCCATGATATATTTGTTGAGTACGACATGTACTTACGCTTGTTTTATTTTTCGACTATTTGGATAAAAATCCCGGATGGGTACCAAATTGCTAGAGTTTGGAGGAATTTGGCTTGTGATCAACCAGTTAGTTGTCTCTGTAGAATTGGAGTCTTCACCTGAAGATCGGAGTTGTCTTTCCGTTGTTTGTTGTCTAAGGTTATATCCTTTATACTAAGTATGTTATATATTGAGCATTGTCTTTTGATATTACCCGTATTTGTAGCTATATGTGAGATTTGACTTCCTGGGCTCACATATGGTGCGTATCTAGTTTTGTTC